GAGGCTGGGCGCAAGATCCTGCAACGAAGGTCTCTTCCAAGTGAGCCATCCTTGGCTGTGGGAAGCCGACCAGTTGCAAAACGGCACCGTGTCTCCAGTGAAAAAATGGTCTGTCAAGCGATGCAAACAGCAAGGCCAAGGGACGTTCAAACATGGGATGTAAGGGACGACCCTGCTTCCAGCTTTTTAAATCCAATTTAGTCCTGGCTCCAAACGGCCAATAGCGATGGGTGAGTGGCGTAAGTTGCGCGCCTGACTTGAAGGAATGTAACGGAATGACTCTCCTTTGCAATTTTCGGAGAGGTCCACAGTTTCGATTTTCGACACAACCGCAGTACTCTTGCGAATGCTCCTCATTAGTCCATAGCCAGCATTTAGGGCCTTTGGGGAGGTGACAGCAAGACTTAGAATCTGGCCAGCGAGGCTCTAAACGAGCACGTAGTTGCTCTTGCTTCCAAATGCAAGTGGGTATGGGTCACAATTAAACCAACAGGAATCGGACCGCAGGTTTTAGTCCTTGGTTCCATTTACCAGGGCTCCGTTCAGGGTACCTATTTTTGACCCACAGCCAAGTGTGGTTCTTCAGATCTCTGCGAGGTCGCGGCAGAGCGTTTGGGAGCGCGAGACGATCCCGAAGGATCCTGCCAAGAGGCCAGTTCCCTGGTGGAAGCCAAGGCGTGGTTCCGGCTGCGAAACTGACCCGGCGGCTAACTCCTCTTCATGAGCCGCGGGCTCTGACCAACCTCGATCAGTAGGCCGTTTAGGCGTTGGGCCTGAAACAAAGCAGCGGCAGCAGCAGCAGCAGCTGAAGAAAGGTTGAGGCAAGCGGGAGTAGGAAAAGGGCACAGCAAAGCCAAGTGTGTATTGGGTTGCATTTCGCCCAATTCTGTGCAGCGGGTGCAGCAAGCCCCGCGTCAACCCATTTCAGCGGCAAGCAAGCGGCCATGAATGAGCATTGTTTGCATTCGTGCTGTGACAGAGTCAAGCTGGAAGAGTCCCCGCCCCGATTGCAGGAAGATCGGCTGGTTGCCGGGCCAGCCGGTCTTTGCTGGAGAGCAGTTCAAGGCGTGTGAGGGCAGGAGTCATGGCTGAGTTGTTGACCGCGCCGCCCGTTCGGGGCCCGTTCGGAGCTCTGCGGCTCGGAGATCGGAGGCGCCCAGCCCGGCCTTCCGCTCGGTGGGCCGCTTCTACTTTGAGAACTACCAGCGCTGCCACCCCTCCACCTTCTAGCGAGGCGCGAGGCAGTCAATGAGGGACCCAGGCCCAGGTGGTGGGAAGGAACCGGTTTTGGGGATTCTCAAGGAAACCAGAGATGAATGTGTTTTCTTTTTGAGTCATTGCCTCATTCCTTGCTGAGAACCAGCAAAGTGTATGCCCCTAGATGTTTGTCAGCTTCCATGTTGGATAATTGGTTTCTGAGACATCTTTACCCTTTAATAAAATGCGGGTTTGTCAAAAGAACGAAAGGTTCCTTTTTTAACCAAATGGGATCCAACATTGGCTCCTAATTCTGACCCCCACATGGGTTTCTGCGCTGATGGTTTGTCTTAGCAACACACATGCTAAACGTAAAATGTTGGGTTTGGCTCGCAGGAGAAACACCAACATGCGTGGTTTCCCTTTTTCTTGCCTTAACCCAACCCTCAACATAAAATGCCAAACAAAGTGTTTGATGACAGTGCACATCTAGAGGAAACCTACGGAAATTATCACAATTTTGGAGGGGAGCCCCACACCATCTCATGCCAAAGCCAACATGTGTCACTTCCGACTTAGTTAGCCTAGCTTCATTTGCCCCTGATGTATTCTCCTTTACGGCAATTTGGTTGGATCTTTCGACTTTAACTTTTTGGACAACGGTGTGTTTTTCATCGGACCCACACAAATGTTAAGGTTGCAGAGGGGTCGACAGCAACCAAGCCTCTTTTCTCCTGTGATTTCCAGGCCCTTTGGGCTGGTGAGACAAGCTTGTTTTGGGGAATTCGCACGATCCGAGAGCTTGGTCAACGGATCGTTGTGCTGCCATGGATCCTGGGGGGAAATGGATCCTGAGGGGAAAGCTAGCGCTTCCGGTTTCAGTCAATTAGAGCTCACAAGGGTGCCCTTTAGGGTGCAAGTGTACCAATTAATAGCCTTCAAACAAAGATAAAGGACAACCTTGCACAGGTCACCCTTGTCAAACCTTCACTTAAGTGCCCAAAACCCCCGGGTTGTGCGAGTAGGAGGTTGACAACCTCTTTGGGGAGTTTGATGGGACCGATGCAAATACTTTTTCAGATGGGCCAAAAGTCCGAAGGTGCGCTCGCTTGGGCCAGGTTCTGAACCTGACCGCAAGACCCTGCCTTCGGAGTGCAAATGATTCAGCTTGGCGACATTCTCGCTCGCTCAGGCCTCTGTCCTTGGAAGTCCCCCAGCAAAGACAGCATCGGGCGTGTCTTGCAGCCTTTTAGGGGCTTCTTAGAAACGAGCGACCAAAAGGATATTCTCTGGTTGCCCCTTCTTGAGCACACCCATTCCAAATCTGGCACAATTCATGGGCCAGTCCAACGATACGTTGCGACGTAAAAAATCTGGCTGGCGGAGTTCCAAGGCTCGTCTTAGGCCAGTGGCTTCGGCTTCCTGAATGGTTCCTCTTCGAGACTCGTGGTGAATGGCTCCCCCCTTAGCGCGCGCAAAAAGACATCGGCCGGGCCGAAAACATGGATACCGGCCTGGCGAGGCGAGAAGGTCAAAACCGCTGGGTTTGCCAATGCATTCAAGCATGGACCTGGAGGTAAGAGGGGGTCGAGTGAAAAGAACTCTAGAAACAAGACATGGTTGTTGTTGGGAAACATATTGCAGTACATTGTTTGCTGATTATGTTTTAGTGGGAAACCCCCACTTAACTGCTAAAAAGTAAATTTTTGCTCCCCTTCCCACGTCAACCGAGAAGAGCTCCCTTTCAACCCTCGTCGCGCCATTGAAACCTCCAGATTGTGCCAGAGGCGAGCCACTGGTCGGCTTCGGCCAATCCGGACCCCCGAAAGCGTCGAGCTGGAGGGTAAGTCATGGACGCTCCTTCTTTTGTCCCAGGTCAATATATTTCCAACAGGACCTTGTTGGACAAGTGAAGCCCACTTGGCCTCCAGTTGGTTACAAACAGGGTAATAAACCCAGTGAGCCACTCTTTACCCTCAACCCCACCCTACCAAGAGACGACAAAAGACCCAATTTTTCTCCCCGAAGCCGCTGGTGAAACTGGGTCCCTTATCAGACGCCTTAAAGGCGACCGCCGGCCTCGTGCCTGCAAACGGGGCAGCTCCTGAAAGAGAGCTAACATATCTGTGTGTGTGTGTGTCATTCTTGCGGGTACTCACCATCTTTTGGGGCAAAGGCCTTTATTTAGTCAAGAAACATGGCTATGTCCAATCTAGAATCATACACCCACCAAACTTCGAATTGGCCCAACAGGTGATGCTCAAAACTACATCAAAATAATCTGGCTAGGCAAGTTCATGGGATCTGGCATAAGTGATGGGTGGACACCTGACGCAGGGCACGTGTTTTGGGTTTTCTCTACCTCACTTCAGTGGAAGCAGATCTTTTAGTTGGCACACCCTGAAAAATGTCACTCCCAGTGTCGCGACTTGTTGGCAGAACCTACCACTCCGACAGGTCGGAGTCAAGGTCCCAGCTTAACTTGCTGGTGCTCAGTAGGGAAAAAGGGACTGAACCTGGGGGTCCCCTTAAAATAAACCACCAGTTGGATGGCTTATAGGGGTCATTCCGTCATTCCCTGCTGACCAGCAAGTTCAGAAATCTCAAGCGTTCTTTGGACAGGGTCTATTGGCCAAGACGTGCCGTGCTAGCTTTTGGGAGTGTAGCTGTAAGCCCCGGCTTAGCGCCCATAGAGATGCCAAAGGCATCGCAGAACCATCTCGTTCGAGGAAGGACGAATCGGCCGCTGCTGCCGCTGGGTCCGGCGTATCACGAGTAATGTTGACCCCCTATTAATCAACCCCCAGAAGTGGGCTGATTCCCCACAAAAAGCCAGGGAAAAGCACCCCCATATTAAGAAACAGGGGTTTGTTAATAGGGGGTGTTGATTATGACTTTGAAATGAGCAATCCATACTGGCAGTCTATGCCAGGTCCCCCAGTAGTGCCCTTTCTCTCCTCTTTTTTTGGGGGAGGGTTCCCCTAGTAAAATAGACGACAGATAAAAATCGGTACCTTATTCTAACCTCTTTAGTGGAGGACCTAGTCTACATCCTCCACTTCGGTGCCCCCTGTTGACTTCTTCCCATTCGTGAATATATCCCAGGTTCCTACAGAGGGAATGAACGAGAAAATCAAAGGAACCCATTGTCAATAAAGACACGGAGGATGGACGCCCCGCTTTTTTTTTTTCTGAAACCAAAACTTGCTGGTGCGATAGGCAGGGAAGGAGGGAATCCTATAAGCCATCCAACTGGTGGTTTTTTTTCTTTAAGGGGACCCCTGAATTCCTGGTGCGCCAAGCAAAAAACCGAATCCCAGGTCCATTCCCTTATTCCCTGCTGAACTTCCCTAGAATGAGCCGCCCTTTTCCGTGTTTTTTGTTCTCGCCTTTTTGGGTCCCCTGTGCTCTCCACTAACCAGGTATTTAGTTTTTATTTTTTGCGTCCCCTTCCAGCCAAGAAAGGGTGACTTCCCGGCCCTGGGAGCAGCTCCAACATTTCTCCTACGTTCGGCTTCCAGGTCGGCAGGTTTGTGAATCCAAGGAATCAACCTCCATTTCACCTTGGCAGGGTGCTCCAAACGATGGCTCTGTTGCCCAGTGACGCCCCCTGTTTTTTGGTCTCTTTTTTGGGGGGTAAGGGTTCCGATTCCTTTAAACGCAACCAATCAACAACAGTCGGATGCCGATCCTTTTTTCCCATGGAAATCCTCTGGAAATCCGGGAAACAACAACATGGGGATATGTTTTGTTCGGGCAGCCTTACCGCAGCGATATTTTGCGACCGTCAGCGAGACGGCGCCATGGTACTGGAGACCATTATCCCCTTGAGGCGGGCTTTTGGCTTGACCTTCAGACATGGTCGTTGGGTGGTGGGGTGGTTTGGAGACCCTTTTGGGTGGTGGTGTAAAAGATACTTCAAGATGACTGTACCCTTTCTTCCTTTTGCTTAAGAATATTGTTCATTTTCCCCTGTTGGTTTAATGGGAATCGATCGTATTCTAGGGGGCTTAAGCAAATGGCAGCTTTTGGGGATGGTTCAACGAAGAATTCAAAGCCCAGAGCGTTTGCATCTATCCATGATCCGTGAAGCGGTTGGCACTGGCTTGGGTCTCGCAATGCTTTGGTTTTGAAGGGAAACCAAAAGGAAGCAACTTGCTGGTGCTCAATAAAAGAAATGCGGGAATCAACCCTCAAAGGACACCGGTTGGATGGTTTATAGGGGTTATTTCCTCCTTCCCTGCCTATCGCACCAGCAAAAAAAGGAAACCACCTGCCTTGAAGCCGGCAGGATGGTGCTGGGTGCCGAGGATGTGCTCAGCCTCTGGTTCTGGGGGCACCTCGGAGAGAAGCTTTTTGGACCTGCTACTAATGGACGAAATGCATTTCGCACCAAGACACCCTGGAATGATGTTCCCCCCGTAAATACCAGCAAACAATATTGTGTCCCATGGTTTCTTAGGTGGTGCGAAATGGATTTCGTCCATCCACAGTATGGTTGTGCCAACATCAACCCAAGAATTTGGACCTCCCAGAGGGTTGATCAACATTCCCTTCGGCCAATGGTCATCGCATGAGGACCTTGTGATCAACCCCCACATACAAGATGTTCGGTCAGAAAACCGTTTGGGTTCACTTGGGGTCTCACTAAAGTTCCCACACAACAATCAGGTGACGGAAAACAAGTCTCATGTTCTGTGGGGTAATCGTTCTGACCATGACTTCGATGATGCTAAGAAAATCACCTTGGAAGAATGACAGACAAACACTCGTCTACCTAGGTCTCCCAGTAGTGCCCTTTTACCTTTTTTTTTGCGGGAGGGTTCCCCTACCAAAAATAGACTACAAAAAAGGGTACCAACTTATTCTAACCTCTCTACTGGAGGACCTAGCACAGGGTCAGACTCCATTTGGTCTTGGCCATTCAGGCCAGCCCGGTGGCTAAACTCACTCGCTGGATGGTCAAGTCAAAAAGCCTTAAACAACTACGTATTTCAATATTAAATTAACTTTTACGTGGCATCATACGGCGGATATGTAGTTGGGATACCGGGGGGGGGTATGTGAGGGAACAAGGTTGCCGGTGACTCTCGAAATCAGTTGAAGGGGGCTGATTTCCCAGTGGTTCTTTCACATCCATCCAAAACGGGGTCCACCATTCTGGGATAGGCTGTTTTTGGTAAGATACTGAAACTGGCGCAAGATAGGCTGTTGCTGACAAGCCAACGTTGCTGGCAATACAGCAGCCAGCCTGTGCTGGAAAGCGCCCTCTTGGTATCACTGAACTTCTCACTTCCTGAGCTTCTGGACTTTTGAAGCTTGGGTTTGGAGCATTTTAGTGGCAAACAAAAAGTTCGGACTACTCAGAAAGTGAGTGTAGCGGGGGCCCGCCCAAAATGGTGGTTTTGCTTCTGTCCCTACTTGCGCACAGAAACTCAGACGTGCAGCCACCTTTTTTTTGTGGCCAATCCACGCCTTTCCGGAGACATGTGCCCAGCCCGTGGGCCACAGTTCCAACATGCGTCACAGCCGCGCCTCTGCCTGGGGTCCGCCTCAGATGCCGGTCGGGTTGCCCATGTCAAAAGTGGAGGGTGGGAGTTTTTTTGGTGGCTTTTTAAAGGGAAACTGAAAGGAAAACCATCATTTTGGGGGGTCCCCTATAAGGCACACCCAGATGTGGTCAAAAATAGTTAGCCCAAAATGGGTTGTTTTCTGGAGGGAAGCAAGGACGAGCTGCGGTGTAATTTCGACTCTACCTAATTTGGGAAGGGACATGGACTGACGACGTGTCACCTCTCCACCGTGGCGTTTATGTCTCAAGCTGACTGAGAGTCTCGAACCAGCACCACGCAACTTGCGAGATGCCAAGACATGGTGGCGACGTAAACCAGGGTAACCTTCAATGAATTTATCCTCGGCCGACCTTTGGGGTTTCCCTTAGCAACCACGAGCTATCCCAAAAGCTTGACCAGTTTCCAAGTCCACACAAAAGCCACTTCTGGTAGAACAAAATTAAGCTGGTCAAAGCACTGTTGCTGTTTCAAACAGACTCGTTCCCCATGTTGCATTCGGCGAAGCGTGAGCGGCCACGAAATCGAGCCAAGCGTCTAAGCTGGGTTTTCGAGCAAGCAGAACTAAAAATAAATAAGCAAGCGCCAGACACTGTCAGACATGTGTGCACCCAACCATTGATTTCAAGTACTCACCGATTGATGTTTGTCAGATTTGCAGCAAATCAATTACGACCGCACATATGAAGGTTCCTTTCTTGGGGGCATTTCCTGTTGAGGTTGTTTAATTATTCATGGCAACTATCTCGTGACCAGGAAGCAACCCAGCGGGCCACACAAAAACACACACATTTTGGTTCGAAGGTGAGCTCGACCACAAGCCTAAGCCCAAAAGCCATCCTGAACCACTCTTAAGACTCTAACCCTAAGCCTACCCCAACCCCGACGCCTCCTGAAGCTTGACACACGGCGCATGGAGCGCTATGGCCTCAGAGCGGGTGCTGTCGCCACTGGGGGTGCTGACCTTACATGGCCTGCTGCTCGCCGACGTAGCGGCGCACAGGACGGCCGGCTTCGGACGGGGACCGGGACACGTGTTTTGTTGGCCCCAAACGGCGAGCGCGAGGCGGATGTTCCGAAACTGGCTTTCGCTTGCCCACCGGCCTAAGAATATGCTTGATTTTCTTTCCCTTGTTGGTTTTAAAGGGAATCTATCAGTACTTGGAACATGTTCACTTTTTCAAGGAGGTTTGAGCAAATTGGATTTGGGCAGCGTTGTTTCATGGGATGAAAAGGGTTTATGCACGGGGACTGATCATGTCGGGGTAGGGACTTTAGGTGGGCACATTGTTTATTTCTCCTGCCTAGGTGCCCGTGTAGGCTTGCCCAGGGATGATACGTCATAGAGTCGTACATGGGTATCGGTTTAATCATCCTTGGTTCCATTTACCAGGGTTCCAGTTTACCAATGTTTGAGCCACAGCCTGGCTTTGAAGCTTTCATGTTCAGTGGTTGAGGCTACATGAGAAAGAGTGGCCTATGGCCATGGGGTTGGAACATCACCTTGCGCTAGCAAGTCATTGCGTGCCCATCGCTCAAAAAGGTAAGGCTTAAGGCCTGGATTTTTCAAAACAGAACTGCCTCCATGTGCGGCTGGAGGCCCATTTCCTGAATCTATCCCTCTCCGGGCGGGCATGCCGCTGTCACTGCGCTTGAGAAGCTTCCTGTTTCAGTCAGCTGCCAAATGACGCAGCTCGAGTAAAGATTCCTTTTTGGGGACGGGCGCGATAGGCAGGGAATGAGAAATGGAATGACCCCTATAAACCATCCAACTGGTGGTTTCCTTTCAGGGGACCGAAAGCTTCTGGGTTCATTCCCTTGTACAGAGCAGCAGCAAGTTTTTGGGGCCTCAGTTGTTCGGTGGCACCTTTTTTCCCCTTTTTTTGGTGGCCCCACTTTCCCCAAAAAGGGTTCCCTTTTTCTTCCAGGGTCACTGAACAACTGAGGGGCTGGTCTTGAAACCAAAGGTGCTCGGGGTCCGCGAAGTGTGAGTTGATCTTTGGACGGGTTTCGAAGTAAATGTGGGTATGGTTCAAAGCCATTTTGGGGTAGGTGCACTACCCATTTTAGCCTATAGTGGGGATTGCATGGATTGGGATGTTCACGGGGGGTACGGGGTTTTGACCCATGGCCATGTGAAGCTGGCGTTCTTGGGCCAAGAGTTGTTGCGATTGTTCGTGACCTCTCCACAGCCCTCCCCCTGCGCTCGACCGAATCCGAAGGCATCATCTACTGGTGTTCTCGGGCGCTTCAGTGGCCGAGTGGCTGCTGGCAGCCTTAGCCATCTGCAACTGGTCGGGTTCGGTGGGTGGGCGGGGGGATGAGGGCTGTGAACTTGGTTCAGGCAAAACAATGGGCACTACTGGCGGACCTAGAAAAGGACATGTTGCATTCTTCATTTTCCGGGCTGCAGGGGGCCAGGATTCATCAGTTTGTTTGCGGGAGGGGGGGGTGGCTGGCTAGCCTTCGGCCTCCCTGAAAAGCGTGAAAAGATACTTTTACCCGCTGGGAGCTCCGACAACGACACCTGAAAACCTTCATCCGATGCTTCAGTAAAGCATTCGGCTGAATCCCTTCCTTTAAAGTGGAGAACCTGTTCAAAAGGATCTGGGTGTGTCTTTTTGAGGGTACCACTCTGTTGGTTGGTTTTAAGGGGAAGCCCAAAAATAAAACCGAAGCCATTTTGGAGGGTCCAAATCCTAAAACAACCCTCCCTTCCGCCAAGTTCCTCTCGCCAATCGGAAGACAAAGGTCATGTCAGTCTGCCGGCGAAGGGGTTTCTCTCTTCCCTGGCTCCCTGGTCCCATCACCCACAGGACACATCCTTTAGACGTAGGGGCTTACTTCCACATGGGTGGTTGGCGCTAAGACACTCCCACTCTACTAAAATAGGCTGCAGAAGAAAGGGTACCCTTATTCTAACCTCTCTACTGGAGGACCTAGTTTTTTTTTCTGCAGTCCTGTTGGCCAGACAGTCCAAGAAAGCACCGGAGAGGACTGGCCAGCGGATTAAAACCTGGCAGAGGCCCTAAGCCCCGGATTTCCAGGGTTGCCACCAGGAAAACTTGCTGGAACCCAGGCTTCGGTCCGAAAGTTTAAACCGCCAGTTGCCTGGTTTGTAAGGGTCATTCCATTTCTCATTCCCTGCATCTCTCGCACCGATCGCAAGTATCTTTGGGTATACTTACTGGGGTCATTATTTTGACGGTTTCTGGGGGTTATCCAAGTCAGAAAATGTGGTTGTTTCCCTTCAACCCACCACATTTCTGGGGTGACTTTGATCATGGTTCTAGGGGTCCATTCTCCCTGAGTTTCCGGAGGTTTTCTAGAAAGATTCGGATCCCTGAAAAGAATGCGTAAAATGGTAAAATAATGAGGGCTTACTGCTGGAAATATGTTTTTTGGTTCAGAGGGCTCAAGCAAATGGAAGCTCTAAGCCACCACATTTGGGGGGTGACTTTGATCATGGTAAAAGAGGCCAGACTTCGCCCAGAAACGAAAAATGGGCCGCGCCACAGCGCCTGATCGCTTCGCCCAGGCGCCTACCTCCGCACGGTGATCTGCGACCCCGGGCAGCTGAGAGCCGAGCCCGTGCCTCCGCCAAACGGGGCTCGGAAGGGCCGGCCCAACACGGGTGACATGGCACCGTCCCTGTTTGACATGAGGTTGACTAACTTCGACAAATTCCGAAATTATGTTGGGGCATGGGTCAAGAGAGGGTCTGGGGTGTGGCACCACATGGGAAATGCTGGGTTTAGATGCAGTG